ACCTCCAGGATTTTGTCAAATAAGAGTGGTAAATGTAGACATCTTTGTCCTTTCTCCAATCATAAAAGATACGACTCTAACATTTTTTTCATTGAGTATAAGAATTTCTAATCTTTGTTTGCTAAGAGTTGTTACGATGAGGAGGTGTTGAACTTTATCAATGCTTTTTAAAATTATCTGTTGAGGTAACCATATGACTTTTTTCTTCAGTCTGTTATTGTAGTGAATAACATTAGTGGATTTTGTAATATTGAAACACTTGCATTTCTGGGATAAACTGTCCTTGTTAGTGATGTATTGCTCTTTAAGTACACTTTTACATTTGGTTAGATAATATTTTATTAAGAATTTTTGCATCTATATTTATAGATAAAATAGGCCTACAATACTTTTCTTGTATTATCCCTAACTAATTTCATAGTCAAGATTAACCTAGCCTCTAAAATGAGCTGGTCGCTTTTCACTCTTTTTCCAAATCTGTATCTCAAATTCACACCAAAATCAACCATAGGCGATCACCTGGCCCAGCTTCTTGTTTCCTAAGCAGGTACAAATATTATCACTCCTATTTCATAGATGAGACAATTGAGGCCCAAGAATAAAGTTCTGAACGAAGTGGAGTTAGAACCTAGACTATTCTGCCTTGGGTCTATAACTTCTTGGTCTCACCAGTATAATAATCAGTGACCAATTACTTTATAAATAATACTGCAGTTTCCAAAGTTCATTTTTGTATCAGTTTTTCAGAACTCAGAACATTTTCCCATAGAAACAAATAAGTTGGTTGGGTTTTCATACCAGGTTGTTTAACTCATAATATCATCATCCCCCTACTGTGGTGTATAACCCCTAATCTGACCCCATCTTCCAACCAGACTCGATCTTTCAAACTCTTCCACTGTGACCTCTGGACCCAGTATGTGTCATCATCTTTATATGCCCAACCTCTTCTATGAATTTAGCTTTCTTAGATCTTACTGAGAGCTGGCTGTCTGGAGGACTTGGTCTTAGTTCACATACCTCAGGGTCTGCATTTAGACCATTACTCTTCCTTTATCCTTCAAAATCTCCTGTTCCTTTGAAGTTCATGTTTCAAATTATATTATCCGCCACCTTTTCTTGTTGCTAGGGTCTTTAAGCCTGGTCATCTGCCCACGTTCACTGATAACTTTGGCACCTGGGTATTCATCTTCCTCTTTACACTGTTTTCCTAACATCATTGTTGATGACTGTTAAAATCCATCAGAGTAATCCATCTAACTGCCGCCTCTTAGCTCCTCAGTCTTTTTTTTTTTTGAGACAGAGACTTGCTCTGTTGCCCAGGCTAGAGTGCCGTGGCGTCAGCCTAGCTCACAGCAACCTCAAACTCCTGGGCTCAAGTGATTCTCCTGTCTCAGCCTCCCAATTAGCTGGGACTACAGGTGTGCACCACCACACCCAGCTAATTTTTCTATTTTTAGTAGAGACAGGATCTCGCTCTTTCTTAGGCTGGTCTTGAACTCCTGACCTCAATTGATCCTCCTGCCTCGGCCTCCCACAGTGTTAGGATTATAGGCCTGAGCCACCTTGCCTGGCCAGCTCCTCAGTCTTCTCTTCAGTGATCTTTCTCTCCAGCCCCTCCTTGGACATGTCCCAAAACAACCTCTTCCGATTTATTGAATTCAAGCCACCCACCTCTTATATCACCTCCTAGCCTTCCAGTTCATTTACTCATGTATCGTCACTTCTTTCACCTCATGGAGAACTCTAAACCATTGACCTTTGCAGTTTTTTACTATCCACCAACTCCTTTTTGTGTTTGCTCCCATTCTTACCCAATTTATATTTATGATCTAACACAAAAGCACTCTCATGCAAATACCCTAAGATCCCTTCTCCCTCTTTTTAGCAAACCCACAACCCTGATTAATTTCAACCATCCATCTCCTTGGGTCCTTGCACCCAACTATTTATTTCAAGGCTATTAGAGGAAAAGAAATCCACAATAATGCTCACTGGTCACACTTTAAATCAGTGATTCTTCACTGGGACCAATTGTGCCCCAATTGTGCCCCTTCCCTCCCTGGGACAATTGGCAATGTCTGGAGACATTTTTGTCACACTGGGTTGCAGGGGAGGGTTCTATTGGCATCCAATTGATAGAAGTCAGGGATGCCGCTAAATAGACTATAATGCACAGGACAACAAAGAATTATCTGCTCCGAAATGGCAATAATTAGAGGTAGCAACTCTTCTGGGGGAAAAAATGTCAATAGTGTCAAGGTTAAGAAATTCTTCTTTAAGTTAATGAGGACAAGTCTCAAATGGGCAATTGACACAGGGCCTTTGCACTTGCTGTTCCTTCTGCCTATAACACGATTCCTTCATGGCTGGCTTATTATTTAACAATCACTTCCTCAGAAAGTTCTCCCTGACTTCACCCTAGAGCAGACTCAATCTCATCACATTACCCTGTTTTATTGTCTTCAAAACATGTGCCATTTTGTTTTTGTCTTTTGTTGCCTGCTACCTCCATCTAGAAAGTAAATTACATGAGTGCAGTGTCCTTATCTGTTTTGTTCACTGCTGTATCTCTGGGGTCAACTATAGTGCCTGGCATATTATACATATGTGTTGAACAGTGGATGAAAATATTGTTTACTTGCAATTCATTCATTCATCAACTATTCATTGATGATAAAATCCTGACACATCTCTACCCTCTTGGAACTTATATTACAGTGACAATACTGACATTGAATAAATAACGACACAAAGTAAATATAGTCATTTCAAACTATGATAAGAGCTTTGAAAGAAAAGTACTGGCAGCTGTGAGAGTGTTGAGCAGATGATCTGACTCAGTCTGGGGTGGGGTGGTCAGGCCAGGCTTCCTAGAAGAAGTGATATTTGAGCAATAGCTGAATGATGAGTCGGTTAGCTGGGTAGAGGAAGGCGGGTAGGGAAAATGGAGAGGAACATCCAGGCATAGATAATGGAGGGTGCGAAGGCACTTCAGTGGGAAGGAACACAGTATGTTTCAGGAACAGAGAGAAGGCGAGTGTGGCTGAAGCACAGAGTCGGGTAAGCCATAGTGTGGCACTTACGTGCAGGAACATAAAAGTGCCACTGAAAGATCTTAAACAGGAAATGACAAGCTCTAAGTTTGTAAAAGAAGTCACTCCATAGAATAGACTTTAAAAGGACAGGAGTGGAAGCAGGGGGGTTGGTTTGGAGGCAGTTGCAGTCCAGCCTTGGCCTTGCTCGAGGTGGTGGCAGTGAGTTTGGAGAGAAGTTGGATATACTTAAGTAATGAGAAAAATGGAACTTTAGAGCTGGAAGGCACCTTTTAAAAAAGTCTCACCATTAAAAAGAAGAAGAAGAAAAAAAGCCAGTGGCCAGCCTAGACAACATAGAGATCCTATCTCTTACAAAAACGAAAACCAAAAAACTCACCATTAATCCAAAACTACAATACAAATGAATAACAAAGAGTTCGTTAAAGTCTGCATTTTATACAAAAGCAGGTTAATTAGCTTAGCATGAAGTCCTTTAGTATGTTTATTGAATAAATGAAGGAGATTTACAGAGAAATGTTTGAAAGGGAAGAACAAAGATGGGAAATGCGAGAGAGTGGAAGTAAAAAATGGAGAGAGGAGAATGAAATGAGAGACAGAGTAAACAGAGTGTACGAGAGCCTGAGCGGTGCGAGGAGGTTGGAGGAAACTGGGCAAGAAGAAAGGGTGGGGGAGGCAGCGACCAGCAGTTAGGAAAATGGAAGAAAGACTGATTGCGATGCTAGGCTCCAAGGAGGCTGGAGGTAGCGTACAAAGGTAAACTAAAAGAGAGAGAGGGAAACAGAAGCTACAAAGTGGAAAAGGCAGGAAGGGGAGATGATCAAAGACGAGGGAGAGATGAAAGGATGCTTTGGAGAAAGAACACGGCAATGGCTTTGGGAGAGAGAGCAGGAATGCGAGGGTAAGGTGGGAGGCAACAATCACCTTGGAGAGCCAGATGGTAGGGAGAACAGAACGGTGAGGGGAGTAAGAGAGTGCACACCAACAGTCCGGTCCAGGCTCCAGAGGGAAAAAGAAATGGGTGAGTGGCTGGGGCAGCGGGTGGGGAAGGTGGAGGATAGGTTTGAAAAGACTCCAAAGGAGGGGAAGGATGGGTGTGGCCAAGACTCTGACCTAGACCTTACCCTGCTCCCCACCCTCTGTGGCTTCTGGCTTCAGTGTGGTTTCTTCCTTTTACTAGGAGCCTTGATGCTGGAGGGGATATTGACAGGTGGGAGGTGGAAAATGAAGGGCCCAGGCATTCAGTCATGTCAGGGATTGGAATGGGGGGCCAGGAAGGTGGGGGCTATTGGGGAGCCGTGCTCAGAAACCGGCTGTCTGTCGGAGGGCAGAGCAGGAGGGCCAGGAGTAAGAGGGTGCAGTGCTGGGGAGGTGTCGCCGGGAGTGGAAACTCCAAGAAGGCTGCTGAAGGGCGTGATTCTCGGGGATCAGGCCAGGGCCCCAGAAGGCGGGATCGGCTAGAGTAGGAGACAGAAGAAAATGGAGAAGAGCAGAGGATGGGGGCGAAAGCAGGGCTGGACAAAGAGCACTTAGGGCAGAAACTGGAGGGGGAAAGGGCAGCACCGAGGCTGGCCAGAGGCGTCCCCCAGCTCAGGCTCAGCCGCGTCCCAGGCGCACCTGTTGGGAAGAGGGGAAGAGGCATCTTGTGCCCATGGGAAGTCCAGTCCGAGGGGCTGACTCGGAGCTTGGGACTCCGGAGCAGCCACCGCCTTCTCCGCATCAGCGGTCAAAGCACTGCAAGTGAAGGGGTGTGACCCTGGAGCTCAGGTTTCTTCCTCCTCACCTGGGCAAGGAGGGGTGGGGGCAACGACTTCCGGTTCAGGTGAGTGTCCCTTCGGTGACGTCAGGTCACCCTCTGCCGCCCCTCCGGCCCCGCCCGCCTTCCCGGGCTCTTGGTGCCCGCGGGGCCGCGCCCCCGACGCCCTACATATACTCAGGTGCGCCGCACCTGCCGGCTCACCTCGGAGCAACCTCTTCCGCGCACCGCAGCCTCGGGCTGACAGCCCAGGATACTCTCTGGGGCTTGCTGGCACCCAGGACCGCGCCCATACGTCCCCTCCACCTTTTGCTTGGGTAGGGTCCTCGAGAGCGCCGGAGGGAATCGCCTGGCCTTCGGGGACCGCTTTTGTCTGGAACCGCTCCTCCCGGCGTAGCCTGTTCCCTCTGCTGCGAGACCATCGCTCCACCGGGAGGCCGATCTGTGTGTACTAGAGGTGACAAGATTTGCAGTCACTTGGCCAAGAACTTTTTTGTCTTTTTGGGTGACTTTAAAACTCCGCCCCAAGTTATCTTTTGTGGGGCTGCCCCCTAAGTTTTGTTTGTTTTACCGTAGGGTCGCCTGCTCGGCGCCCTTAGTCTTTTTCTGAGGGCGGAAATGGCCAATTCGGGCCTACAGTTGCTGGGCTTTGCCATGGCTATGCTGGGTTGGGTGGGCCTGGTGGCTTGCACCGCCATCCCGCAGTGGCAGATGAGCTCGTACGCGGGCGACAACATCATCACGGCTCAGGCCATGTACAAGGGGCTGTGGATGGAATGCGTCACGCAGAGCACGGGCCTGATGAGCTGCAAAATGTACGACTCAGTGCTCTCCCTGTCGGGTAAGGCCGCGGGAGCGACGGGGCGGACGCGCCCAGGGCCGAGGTGTCGGGTGGTGTGCGGGGCAGGGCCGAGGCCCCGCGGCGGGCGCCCTGGGTTGCCGGGGAGCAGGAGGAAGCGGAAGTGGTCGGGCCGGGCGGTGGGGCTGGCGGCAGCGGGCCTGGGTTCTGGCGGGGCCACGCGAGGCCGCACCCCGGCCCCCTGCGCTCTTCTTCCGCCCCCTACCAGGTCTCCACCTAGGCAGGGGAAGCCTGGGGAAACTGAGTCGAGTCCGAGGCCGGGGTCATCCTCTCCTCCACCGCCCCGGGCAGGCAGTGGCCTCTGACGTCTCCCGCCCTTTTCTCTCAGGCAAAAGGGGGCGCGGGACGAGGCCACGCCGAGGGCCTAGGAGCCGTAGAGCTGTGCGGTTTGCTAGACGTGGGCCGCCGCCTGCGGCTTCTAATCTTATCGGCCGATTAGCCGAAGCCACAAACCCCGTGTCCTCGATAGCGGGTCAGAGCTGGGACGCAGCTGGGATGTGCGGCCAGCGTGGAGCCTCCGGCCACCGTCTCTGCTTCTCTTCGCTGCCCCCTTTCACCCTTCCCCCTACCCGGGGCAGTTTCATCGAAACCCTGGCGCCCCGGGCGGATCCTTGAGCAGAGGGCGGGGCGGGAGCAGGAAGGCCGGGGTGTCGGGAGGGGCGGGAACCTGCAGGCTCAGGTCGGAGCCTTGGACAAGGCTCCAGGCCGGCGGCAGAACGCAGCGCTCGACTTAAGAGGGTCCAGGGGTTAGTGGGCACCGGCTGGAGCCGTCTGAGGGCTGCTTGCATTTCCAGCAATGAGGGCGTCTTTTCCCCTTACCCGCAGCGGCCCTGCAGGCCACTCGAGCCCTAATGGTGATATCCCTGGTGCTGGGTTTCCTGGCCATGTTTGTGGCCACCATGGGCATGAAGTGCACGCGCTGCGGGGGAGACGACAAAGTGAAGAAGGCTCGTATAGCCATGGGCGGAGGCATCATTTTCATCGTGGCAGGTGAGCCACAGGTCCAAGGTGGGCCATGGGCTCCTCTCTTTCCCATCTGGGAGGAGTTAAGTGTGGGCAAGGTGCTGGTTTGGGAGCCTCTCAAAATCATAATATCCATTCTCTTTCCAGGTCTTGCTGCCTTGGTAGCTTGCTCCTGGTATGGCCATCAGATAGTCACAGACTTTTATGACTCCTTAATCCCCACAAATATGAAGTAAGTTTGGGAGCCCTTCCTCCTGAAGGGATAGGTCTGGGGTCCTGGGATATGGAGGAGGGCAAGGGCAAGGCAAGATTTCTGACCCCAACCCCTTCTCTCCACAGGTACGAGTTTGGCCCTGCCATCTTTATTGGCTGGGCAGGATCCGTTCTTGTCATTCTGGGAGGTGCACTGCTCTCTGCCTCCTGTCCCAGGAGTGAGAGCAAAACTGGGTACCGTGCACCCCACTCCTACCCTAAGTCCAACTCTGCCAAGGAGTATGTGTGAGCTGGGACCGCCATGCCCCAGCCTGACAGGCTATGGGTGTGCCCAGATGCTTGAAAGGACCTGGGGCAGAGCTCAGCCTGTGGGCAGGATGTAGGACCAAGGCCTCCTGGTCACTTCATCCCTGCACACCATGTACAGTTCTCTAGGGGATTGGGTAGGGGAGACAAAAACAGGGGAGGGTGTGCTTTTTGTACCGTAATAAAAAATAAGTTTTGGAAAGCAGGTTTTTTTTTTGCCTTCAGGGCCTCTGTTTTCCTCCTGTTCAGACCCTTGCAGGGAACTTAGAATCTAAAGTACCCCTACTTCAGTTCAAAAAACACCTAATAGAGCACCAGTGGGGTGCAAGGCTGCTCTTGGCCTCCATTTCATTGTTATTGTTATTCAGGCCCCAACTGACTCTCAAAGGTGCTTGCTTGGCTCCCCTCATCCATTCTCATCCACCCCTCTTATTTAAACAGCTACCAAAGAGTTTCTTTTGTAATAAAATATAAAGATTTTATTAGGCATGGGGGGGTATTCTATTCTCTTACCTTAACCTATGCCCTCATCTTACTTTCTATCTGGTCTCTGGCTCACAGGGCAGAGTGTCCATAGACACAGGGAACAAAGGTGGGGCAGGGACAGAGTAAGGCCAATACAAACAGCAGAAGAATGGTTCTGGGCCCAAGGTCTTCCCCCTCCCCCACCAATTAGTTTAGACAAATCTGGCCAGTCAAATATCTAGGTCATCATCTGGGTCTTCTTGGTCTAGGTCGTCGTAAGCATCTGGTTCATAGAAGATGTGGCTGGTAGCCTGGCCCAGCCCAGGGCGCAGTAGAGCCTGCTGTCTGAGGAGGGAAGAATTGGTGCTGGTGAGGGTGGGTAAAAAGAATGTCTGGATACTGTCTTCCAGGTGACTCTAATTCTCCCTCAGGCAACCCCTCTTGGGCCTCCTTGTCATTTTCTTGGTACAAGGATACTCTTGTACTGTTCCTCTCCTAACAATACGGTATGCTCCTTAGCTTTAGGGCAAGGATTCTGCCCTAGCTGCCTTGCCTCACCCACCCACACACTGGGCACAGAACAGCAGCCATCTACTAAGCCCTTGTTAACTAACCTTTGCCACACCCATATATTCCTGTCTTCCTAGCACTGCTGACTGGAGACAGGGCCACCTCCCAAGGGTCTAGTCTGACTCAGGCCAGGCCCAGATTGTTCTGAGGACAACCATGATGCTGGGACCCAGGGGTCTAATGAAGAGAAAAGAGACAAAGGCCCTCTGCCATTGTAAAGCGTATGGGTGGGCAGAGAACCACTCCTAGGACTTGTCTCTGGAAGTGGACTTCAGTCCCTATAAAGTCTGAGAGTTTAATCAATAACCCGCTGTCGCCAGCTCTCTGTGACCCAGATGCTGGGCTCTACTCAGGGATCCACGCACCTAGGCCCCAACCTTACTTTTCAGAGCTGAACTGGAAGGGCAGAGTCAGGTTATCTCTGGCTTCTCTCTCTTTCTTGGACAGATGAAGGTTAAAGGTCAAATGAGTCATGGGGTCCACCTGTAGGTACAAAGGATGCTGCCACTCTGCCCCATCCCTGGAGTTCCTAACTCTACCCCCCAACCGCTGCAGTTTTTATTTTTGTCTCTCCTTCTGCCAGACCCTAAGCTCCATTAGCATTCTTAGATACCGGGGGTGTATGAGGATCTGGGTGGGCCTGGGACTCTACAGGGGGCCCCTCTTGGAGATCTAGGCTGAAGTCTGGAAGGATGCAGAACCATTGAGTCTGAGGAGAAGACAGAAGAGAGTTAAAAGGATTTTTTACATCTTGATAACAAACCAGAGAGAATTCAGGACCTCACATCCTCAGCCCCCAATCACCTTTCAGCCCTTGCCCTCAACTTTTAAGTCTTCCTTTAAGTCCCTCCATATAGATTTGTTCCTTCTTCCCTCTAGTAACCCTCCCCAGTCTTCTCAAAATCCTTTTCCATTTCTGGGAAGATGGTGTCTTTCATTGGTTAAGCTCACAGACTCCGAGTTAGGCAATTCTTAACATTCAAATCCTGTCTCTGCCACTGACTTTATAACCTTGGGTAAGTGATTTAAATTTAAACTTCTCTAGACTGGTTTCCCAGTCCACAACATGGGGATAATTAATCTACCTCACAGGGTAGCTGTGAATAAATGGGATAAACGACAGAAAATACAGAGAAGTACTCAATCTCATCAGCTTTTTTATTGCTCTTCCCATCATGCCACCCCTCTCTCTAACCCCGATCTCCAGTTCTTCCTGGTTGCTTCTCCTGACCTGGTGAGTTGGGCGCTGTCGAGGCCTCCGACAGAGGATGTGGGCTGAGGCCTGGCCCATTGTACCACCCAGGGTCACCTCAGTCTGAGCAAGGCTGCTCAGTGCTCCCACGGGGCCTGGGCTGTGAAGCTCTTCATGTAGCAAGCCCAGCACACGCACCTGCCCCACTGGGAAGCTGTCACCTGGAGAGGGACAAGAAATGCAGGGCACGAAGAATAGTAGGGAGCATTCAGGGTGGTGGCCTGGGAGCAATGAGTGAAGAGGAGAAAGAGGAGAGGCCCACATTCCATCACAGCTCTACCATAATCCTGACTTACCTTGGCCAATCTCACTGCCCTGCTCTGAGACTCTTCTAGCCCACAGCTTAATACACCTTTTTTTTTTTTTTTTTTTTGAGACAGAGTCTCACTGTGTTGCCCGGGCTAGAGTGCCGTGGTGTCAGCCTAGCTCACAGCAACCTCAGACTCCTGGGCTCAAGCGATCCTCTTGCCTCAGCCTCCCGAGTAGCTGGGACTACAGGCATGTGCCACCATGCCCGGCTAATTTTTTCTATATATATTTTTAGCTGTCCAATTAATTTCTTTCTATTTTTGGTAGAGACGAGGTCTTGCTCTTGCTCAGGCTGGTCTCGAACTCCTGAGCTCAAACGATCCGCCCGCCTCGGCCTCCGAGAGTGCTAGGATTACAGGTGTGAGCCACCGCGCCCGGCCTTAATACACCTTTTTATTCCAATGTAAATCTGATCAATGTACCACTCTGACTTCAGTCCTTCAGCAGCTCCTCACAGCCTTCAGGATGGAATGAACACTTTCAGCGTCTGGCATCCGTTTACGTTCTAGCCACACATCTCACATACTAAACTACTTGCAGTTTTTGCAGCTTGCCAGGATCTCAATCAGTAGCTTTGATTCCCTCCCTTCCTTCCTTTTTGGGAGCATTTTCAGAGTGTCAGGCACTACACTAAACATGTCAACACAACATTTTAATCCTAATACTATTCCCTCCCCCATTTAAAGAGAAAACAGAAACACTGAGAGATCAAGTACCTTAATACAAAGCTAGGTGTGCTTTAACTCCAAAGCCCGTTCAAGTGCCCACAGTGCACTCCAGGGCTAGTCCCAGTGCCCCTACCTGGCCGAATTTGCCTGACTGACCCCTTGCTCTTCAAGATAGTTCCCTTCTTAAGATACCCTGTGCATATCGCCATATCATCATGGCCGGTATCAGACTATCTTATAACTGCCTGTTTACCTGTCTGTATCCTTTATGGAACTTTGAACTACTGTAAGGCAAGGACCCAACTATGAAGTTAGTCTTTATTTTTCTATTAGCTAGAATTGTACCTGACACACTATGTATTTAATGTTTGTTGAATGAATGAGAAAGAAACTACTTGAAAAGCTGGGCACAGTGGTGTGCACCTGTAATCCCAACTACTCAAGAGGCTGAGGCAGGAGGATCGCTTCAGCACAGGAGTTTGAGGCAATCCTGGGCAACATAGTGGGATCCTAGCTCTTGTGGGGGGTGGGGTGGGATTTGGAGGAAAAAAAAAAAGAATGGTAGATGGCATTATGGGGAAGTAAAAAACCAGAAAATAAAGTTAAAGAGATGGAAGAAGGTCTGACTGGAGATCCCTGATGTTTCTCCTTAGGGTGGAAAGGAACTGGGACACATTTCTTGGCAGGGGCAGATGTATGAGGGGAAGCAACAAAGGAGGGGTCTCACCAGGGCAGGAGTCCTGACGGCTCAGGGCATGCAGGGTCTGGCAGAGTGTGGTGCAGGGAAGGTGAAGCAACAGCCAGCTGAGTGAATCGACAGCAATGGTCACAGGACCAGGATCTGTCCTCTTGCACATGGCTGTCAAGGCTCCCAGGGGTCCCCCAGGAAGGGCCTCTCCAGTTTTTGACCAGTTGAGAGGGTCTCTGAAGAAGTCACGGTAAACCAGACTGCAAAGGGAAAATAGGAGAAAACATAATATTGCCCCTTCCCAATCAATCTCAGACTTCATCCTCTGATCTTTGTGGTTCTGTTTTCTTAATTTTCACTAATATCCTAAATACTAGTGAAGGATAATTGCTGAGAGAATATAGTGATTGAGACCACACAGCCTGAATTCCAAGCTTGGTTTTGCTACTTGCCCAAGGTTACCTAACTGAGAAATTACTTAATCTCTCTGTTTCTTCATCTGTGAAATGGAGATGCCAACCTCTAGGCATTTAGCATAGTGCTTGATACATACTAAATGCTTGATAAATGTTAGCTTATCACCATTATCAAATATTTCCTGAGTGGTATGTAAAGTATATCATTCTCTGGTTTAATAAAGAGAAAGTACAAGACATGATACATGATTCCTCCCTATAGAACAGCTTAAAGAAAGTCAAGGATTAAGTTTTGGAGTACTAACTACAGAAAAAGATAGCTCGGAGAAGGGAGAGTGACATGGGCTAGAAATCTTGGGAAAGCTCCATGGTAGTAGAACTCGTCATAAAGCACCACCTCTTGTCACAACAATGGCTGATATAAAATTAGAGCTCAATGGATACATGTATGCTACTATTATCCACTGAACTGTACAGACTAGGAAGCAGAAAGACATTCTATTAATGGTTTTGGTTTTTTTTTTTGAGACGGGGTCTTGCTTTGTCACCCAGGCTGGAGTGCAGTGGTGCGATCATAGCTCACTGTAACCTTATAAATCCTGGGCTCAAGTGATCCTCCCACCTCAGCCTTCCGAGTAGCTGGGACTACAGGTGTGCACCACCACCAGCTAATTTTTAAATTTTTTGTAGAGGCAGGATCTCCCTATGTTGCCCAGGCTGGTCTCAAGCAATCCTCCTGCTTTGGCCTCCCAAAGTGCTGGGATTATAGGCATGAGCCACAGTGCCAGGCCTACTAATGGTTCTTAATCTCTCCTGACCAGGCACATCTGGACACTTTCTTCTATTTCACATCAGTCAATAAGTCCTGGGAATTTTACCCACTAACGTCTTTTCACATTAGTTCTAAACTCTCCTCCCCTACTGCTACTGTGTTAAGCAGGCCTCTGTCACTTCCTACCATTATTTTCTTTCTTTCTTTCTTTTTTTTTTGACACAGAGTCTCACTCTTTTGCCCGGGCTACAGTGAGTGCCGTGGCGTCAGCCTAGCTCACAGCAACCTCAAACTCCTGGGCTCAAGCAATCCTTCTGCCTCAGCCTCCCAAGTAGCTGGGACTACAGGCATGCGCCACCATGCCCGGCGAATTTTTTTCTATATATTTTTAGTTGTCCGATTAATTTCTTTCTATTTTTTTTTTTTTTTTAGTAGAGATGGGGTCTCGCTCTTGCTCAGGCTGGTTTCGAACTCCTGAGCTCAAACAATCCGCCTGCCTCGGCCTCCCAGAGTGCTAGGATTACAGGTGTGAGCCACCGCGCCCGGCCCTCTACCATTATTTTCTAAAACTCATTAAGGCAGGGAACAGGTCTGTCTCATTCACTGTTGTTTCTCCAGTGTCTAGCACAGCACCTGGTTTACAACCGGTGCTCAGAATATGTATACACCTAATGAGTGAACCTGAATTAATGGATTGCTGCATTAGCCTTCCCACATGGTGCCTGTCTCCAGGCTGCCGTTTTCCAGTCCTTTCTCTATACCGTGGTCAATAGATTAGTGTTTCTAATGGATATGGTGTTATCACTCTCCTCCCAAATTTTCAAATGACTCCCTCCTGCCTTTAGGACAACAATCTAAACTCCTTTTCATGCTCTGTAAGACCATTTACAATCAGGTACAATTTCTATGATCTCTGCTTTGGATTTCCCAAATACCTCTCCTCCATTCCTCTTACTAATTTTTGCCTTCTGAAAGACCCATACCCGTTCCTTCAATGAATATTTAAGTAGCTGCTACTACATAGCAGGTTCTGCGCTTGTTGCTGTAAAGGAAGCGCCTTAGTAACAGAGGTCCCACATTTAATGAAATATCTTACAATTTGGACTTACCGGTTGTTGATATCGGAGTCGAAACCTTCACGAAACTCTTCTTCGCTCACTTCACAGCCCAGGATGTGGACTTGTCCCCCACTGAGGCAGAGACGAGAGGGGAGGGTCAAAGAGTGCGGCACAAGCTCCCTTTCCAGGGTAGAACCGGCAGACGCTGAGGGATACTCACCTCAGTGCACATTTCTTGATCAGCGCCTTCAAGAGACTGCGCCCCTCCCACTCTACGGAATCTGGAGAGAGCGAGGGAAGGATAGTGTTGAGAGCAGTGGGGTTTCCGCCTTCACGAACCCGTCGCGACTTCCAACCCTAGCCTGTGACCCATGCCCTTCCTCTCCTCTCCCGCCCCCTGAGCCAGGCCCAGAACCCCTGTGCCGCCGGCTCTCACCCCGAAGCAGCATCAGGCCGCCAAGGCCCAAGAGCGAGTCCAACATTTCCGACTTGTGTCCGGTCTCCCCTCGGGCGCCTCCTGATGGCGTCAGGGCCCACTGACCGCCCCCTCCGGGTGAAAGGGGCGGGGCATTCATGATTCCTTTCACCATTAAGAGCTAACATAGTCTGGAATGAGAGGTGATTACGTTCAATAGTCCCAGGGGGACTTAACAGAGGGTACCCTCTCAAGCCCTACCGCATATTCGTAGGGACCACACCCACGGTCTATACAGTCACTGCGACTAGGGCTGGAAGAGCCGTTGGGGCAGTTGTCAATGGCGGGGGGAGGAAGCCCCACGAGGAACCCGCCCGCCCAGTCCGGACCACAAGGGCAAGTGACGTTCACCTAGCCCAGTTCACGCCGTTCGAGGCGGGGCCTGCTTCGTCCCAGGCCCCGCCCCGCAGCCACCTTTAGCGCGTGCGCGATACTGCAGCCTTGTTTGGAGCTTTCTCCGCTTTGCTTATCCCTACCCCCATAGACCCAGTAGGGGGAACATTAGTCCTGGTAAAGCGAATACACGTCACCACCGGAAGTAGTGTCAGAGGGGAAGACGAGGGGGGAAGAGAGGAGGAGGGAGCCTTCTGGGCAGTAAAATGGCGCCTGTCAGAGTGGGAAACCCAGCTGCAGAGGCTGCAGCCCCGCTCCCCAGCAGCTAAAGGACGCTCGAGCTCGGGGAGGGGGAGGCCGCTCCGGCCCAGCACTCCGCCCCTTTTGGCTCCCCCTCCCCCTCCTTCTCCACTCCTTCGCTTAGCAGGCCCGTTCTCCGCTGCCGAGGCCCTTCGCGCGCCACTACCCCTGCCCGCCCCTTTCCCGCGGGCAGCCCCCTAGCGCGCCTGCGCAGCGAGCCACTCTCCGCTTTTCTCCTTCCCCTCCCCCTCCCTTCTCCCTTCTTCCCTTCTCCCTAACCCCCTCCCCCACAGCCCCCTCCCCCAATTATCCATCCCTTTCCCTCCCGGTCTCCGAGGACCCCTTCCTAGCCCTACGTATCTCGGCCGGCAACCTTCGTGAAGCCGTCGGTGCCACTCCCCGCCCATGTGGGCCCCCGTGGGCTGCCCACGCCTGTCCCCCAGCTCCCCGTTCCGCTGGGCTTTTCCCTCGTCAGGGGTGGCTTTCTGAGCCGCCCGCTCCGTGCCCCTTTCTGCAGCCTCTCCTGCCACTCGGGGCCCCCGTTCCCCCTCCCGGCGGCGGGGGGCTGCCCCCGGGGGGCTGGCGGAGCTGGGCCGCGGGGGCCCCGGGGCCGGCGGTGCCGGGGTCATCGGGATGATGCGGACTCAGTGTCTGCTGGGGCTGCGCACGTTCGTGGCCTTCGCCGCCAAGCTCTGGAGCTTCTTCATTTACCTTTTGCGGAGGCAGATCCGCACGGTGAGCCTGGGTGGGCGCTAGCGGTGGTGGGGACCTCAGTCTGCGGTGCTCACGGGTTTTCATAAAGTGCCAAGCCTGTGTTTGGGCCTAGGAAGGGAATCCGGGGGCTTTTCCCACTGGAGAATTAGGGCACCATAAACGGGGCGTGGGGTGGGGAGGAAGGAGACCCTTGTAATAGAATCGAGACCTGAGGGGTTTTGATGGGCCTAGATGGGACAGGATTTGGCAACTCTTGGGGGCTAGGGTGGTGGGTGGGGCGCGCTTTAAGAAAGCTGGAGTTGTTGCTAAAGAAACGGAGACGCGGGGAACACCTGTTTGATGGCAGCCAGATCAGTTGATGTGAGCTTGTGAAAGACCCTTCTATTAGAACATGTGCGTGTGTTTGGTCTCATAACCAGGGAGAGACAGGCTCAGGCGTAAAGGTGGAGGTAGGTGGGAGGGCGTATGTGACAAACAAGGATGGGAACTTAAGAAAAGCCCTGGGTGAGGAGAAACCCCTGCATTTTCCATTAAGGGTACTCCCCCCAAAAGGCTCTGAAAACTTACATCATAGTCTGAGTGTGGGTATCTGGATTTATTTAGACCCTGAGACTAAAGATGATGCTTTTATGATAGGCTTTAGTTGTGGAAGGGATCACATTAAAGTTTGGGTGTCCCTGTCAGAAGACAGTGCTGGTCAGTTGTAAGGCTTGAATCTGAGGGCACACTTGTTCTCCAGGAGACCCTAGCATTATATGGGATACTGAGGGGAGAGGAGACTTTGGATGTACCCAACAATCTCTGAGTTCCCTCCCCCATAGCTTTTCTCCAAGATCAGAGCGCCTTACGCTAACATCATTTTAATGAATGTGCCCTTGTATTTTCATCGCCACTGGAGAGAATCTTCTAAAGGAGTCTAAAGAGAATTTAGTGAGCTGGGGTACAGAGGTTCTCAGTCTGTACTCTTTGGCATATCCCAGTAAAATTTGAAAGAATAAAACCAGGTAGGGGCAGCATAGGTCAAGGGAATTTCCAAAAAGCCCTCGGTGGTAGTGGTGGTTGACTTAACTGATTTGGGGGAATGGGCCTGGCCCCCCTTTTTTTTTTTTAACCAATCTACTCCTTCCACTTCCTAATTTAGGGTTAGGACTATTCAGGATGGTTGTGGTTGTAGGCAGGGCTATTCCCCTGTCACAAGAGCTAGGAGCCAAGAAAAATGTGGGGTCAGAGGTGCTGAGATATGCTTGGGGCTAGCTCCTTGGGTTTTCTTTATGAGTTGACTGCCATCTTCTCTGTCTGACCTTCTCTCCCTAACACATCAGTATTCTGGGTGGAGAGAGTAGTGCTCCAGCCCATCCACAGGTTAGTTAGCTCAAAAATTACTCTCATTTGGGCAGCACTGACCACACAGCCTTTTTGTCCTCCCTTCCTTTCCAGTCTGGTTTCTTCCCCCACCCCCTTTCTGGCAGATGCTTGGAGCATTCCCTACATGCCCAGCATATGCAACCCGAGATAGCAGGGCAGGACACCCGAGCTGTTTCGGCCCTCATCAGGGCCCAGGGAGAAAAGAAGGGCGGATGCCTTGGGATTAGGGGGAGAGGGCTCCTTAATTTGCAAGAGGGGAGCCTGGTTCTAGTATGCTGTGGGGCCTAGGGATGGACTGAAGAGCATTTGTCTGTGCCTTAGAAGGAAAGAGCAGAGGAGGGAATTGCCAGGCTTTGCATGGGGAGATCTGAGTATTAGAAAATAGGAGCCTCTAGAGAAAGGTTGGAGAAGCAGAGCTGGAAGGCTGAGGTGATGACATCCTTGTCCCTTCTTCACCTTTCACTCACAGCCCTTACTCACTCTGGCCCTCTACATGCCCTGTCAGTCACCTTGGCAGGTGGGGCTTTCCAGTGTTCTCTGCCTTGCCCTAGGTACCAGGATAAGGAGGCTGTTCAGAGGACTGAGGTTCTCTGTAACTTGTGACTTGGCTAAGGGAGAGAGATGTGGACAGGTGGCTGGTTAAAATAGGTTTGGTGGCCCCCAGCCAGAGGAACTTAGCTGACCCGACAACCTTTGGATTCCCTCATTCTCTGTTCCCATGAGGAATCCAAGGACCTCCTCTCCTAACTCCTACCCAGTCTACTAAGGAATTTGAGGCTCTCAGTTCCCAATGTGAGATGATGGAAGTTGCCACAAAGAATCCTTGGGGTGAAGGTGGGGGGCTCGTGTGTTTCTTTGTTCAGCATAGCAGAATCATATCATGGTTAAGAGGGCAGGTTCTTGGGTTGGACTGCATGGGTACAATCCTGGCTCTACCACTGCATCTATTCTACTAATATTAACTGACTACCCTTACTGCAGTGTTCTAAGCACTGGGAATACAGCCATGATTGCAACAAAATCCATGTTTTCATGAAGTTTTCACTCTAACTGGGGAGAAAAATAAGGTAATTTGTAGCTGTGTGGCCTCAGGCAAAGTATTTAACCCCTCCAAGCATTGGTTTCTTCATCCTTAAAACAGGGATAATAATATTAGGGTTGTTTTGAGGATTCAATGAAATAATCCTAAATCACAAACACAGTGCATATGGTAAATGTTCAATATATGCTACTTCTTATTGTTACTGGGAAAGATATCCTTGTCAAGGGTTCTAATCATCTCTCTTGCTATTCTTAGGTAATTCAGTACCAAACTGTTCGATATGATATCCTTCCATTATCTCCTGTGTCCCGGAATCGGCTAGGTGAGTATGCTGGCTGGGAATACTCCTTTAAAGTGAGGCAGGGTTCCAGCTCTGGGCCGGAGGTCAGTCGGTGTTATCCCTTCCCATTGTGGTTCAGCCCAGGTGAAGAGGAAGATCTTGGTGCTGGATCTGGATGAGACACTTATTCACTCCCACCATGATGGGGTCCTGAGGCCCACAGTCCGGCCTGGAACGCCTCCTGACTTCATCCTCAAGGTGTGTGGGAGTGGGGAGTGAAGATATGGTTACATCTGTTACTCTGCCCAGCCCTGGACTCCCTTTTCTGGTCCCAGAGCATCTGGTCCTCATCCCCTAGTACTAGTGTCAGCCCTAAGGAGGGAAGCAGGTGGTGGTGGTAGGGTTGGCTGGGGTGTCCTCTAGGCCTGTGTTGTGGAGCTCAGGACTTCCCTTAGCCCATCCTTGTTCCTTTACAGGTGGTAATAGACAAACATCCTGTTCGGTTTTTTGTACATAAGAGGCCCCATGTGGATTTCTTCTTAGAAGTGGTAAGTTTGCAGGAGCTAAAGGGAGCTTTGTGATGGTTTTAGGGCTCTGGGAATTTAGGGGATTTGGAGGGATAAGAAGAAATGGGTAAAGGCAGTTTTGGAGAGGGGAGGCTGTAGGATGATAGGGGAATGGCTTTCAGTAGTTGGGGTTGATTTATTGTGCTGATGTAAGCCATAGCCATCTTTCTCTTTTTTTCTTGCATCTCTGAATCTTAAAGATATAGGATGCCTCAGAAACTGAGTTTGGAGGTGTGGGGGGTGGAGGTGGTTCAGAATTTTGCATCTTCAGAGACACTGATGTTGATGGAAGGCTTAAAGGACTAGGCTGGCGTCCTAGTGAAAGAACTGTATGGTTAAATGAATGATCACGATATATGACATTTCCCTCTTCCCTGATCTATTTCAGGTGAGCCAGTGGTATGAGCTGGTCGTGTTTACAGCAAGCATGGAGATCTATGGCTCTGCTGTGGCAGATAAACTGGACAATAGCAGGAGCATTCTCAAGAGGAGATACTACAGACAAGTAAGGGGCTAGAATACAGGTCTAAGAGTGAAGCCCAGGAGGTAGACCACCAGGGAGGGATCTGGGTTTGGGGCAGTTGCCTTGGAGGGGGTATGAAGGCGGCATACTTGATTATCCCCTGCCTTCCAGCACTGCACTTTGGAGTTGGGCAGCTACATCAAGGACCTCTCTGTGGTCCACAGTGACCTCTCCAGCATTGTGATCCTGGATAACTCCCCCGGGGCTTACAGGAGCCATCCAGGTATGGGGGAAGGTGGTGAGTCTGGCAGGACCAGAACATGGTTCTGAGAAGGTATTTTGACTACAGGGAACTAGGAGGCAGATGGCTGGGGCCTTGGTCTTTGGGAGCTGGAATTTGCTGGTTTATTGTAGGTCCAAATGCAAGTTCTCTATTTCAAATGAGACACCCTCCATATGTCCATTTCACAAATCAGATTTCTTACATCAAATTTTTTTCAAGTGAGGCACAATAGCAATTTGACTAGAAGCCTCACACTAATATTAGATCTGGTGATTAAAATTTAATTTTATTTTGGAGGATAAATCAAGAAGGCTTTACTGAGGTTGACTTTGGGTAGGGGGAGGTATATAAAAACATCTAGTCTTTCTTTAATCCTTTGTTTCTTCTCATCTGCATTTTCACACACTCTAGACAATGCCATCCCCATCAAATCCTGGTTCAGTGACCCCAGTGATACAGCCCTTCTCAACCTGCTCCCGATGCTGGATGCCCTCAGGTAAGGGAAGTGGGCTCTGGACACTTGGCTTTCTGAGGAAAGGAGGAGGTGGGGGATCCCAACAGGGAATAAACAAAGTTTGCCCTGTTTTATTTACTTACTTCTCTTCCCTTAAGAATTTAGCATTTGGACCCAGGTCTTTTTACTCCAGAGCTCATCACTTTTAGCTATTGGGTTTTGGGGACATTGAACCTTTCTCATCATGTGAAAATGGAGATAATATCAGCCCCACATCTCCATTGATGCCACCTTACACTAGTGTTGTGAGCATAGCAACTATGAGGTACTCTACCAACACAAGTTATTGTCATCCCAGGTTCACCGCTGATGTCCGTTCCGTGCTGAGCCGAAACCTTCACCAACATAGGCTCTGGTGACAGCTGCTCCCCCTCCACCTGAGTTGGGGTGGGGGGGAAAGGGAGGGCGAGCCCTTGGGATGCCGTCTGATGCCCTGTCCAATGTGAGGACTGCCGGGGCAGGGTCTGCCCCTCCCACCCTCTCTGCCCTGGGAGCCCTGCACTCCACTTGGAGTCTGGATGGACACGTGGGCCGGACTCTGAAGCAGCCTCACTCTAACTTCGTGTTCACACTCCATGGAAACTCCAGACTGGGACACAGGCGGAGGTCTAGGAGAGCTGGAACAATGTCTGTGGTGGAGAGGCAGGACTGGCCAGAGTGAGAGACAGATGGACGATGATCCGGGAGGCTCAAAGAGAAGCCAAGTCAGCTTTGTTGTGATTTTATTTTTTAAAAACTCTTGTAAAAAACGGATCCAATTCTTCACTCCTGCTCCAAGGTCTGGGCTGTGGGTGGGAGACTGGGATTTTGGGCCACTGGACTTTCCCCGAATTTGTCTCCCCTTACTTTCCCTCTTTTTTTCTCTCCCTAGATTTCCTCAGATCTGTAACCAGCTTTGTCTTTTTTTCCTTTCCTCTCTTTTAAACCATGCATTATAACTTTGAAACCAAAGCTGCCCTAGATCCTTCTCTGGGGTTTTGGGAAATGAAGGGAGGGGCCTTTGTTCACATCCACCCTGTCCCCGAAGCAGAGCGGGGAGAGACTGTGGTTGGACCTAAGGGGTAAGGGGAAAGATGATGTTGAGTATGGGAATGAGTACCGAAACTCTACACCAAATGCTTTGGCGGGAAGGGCTGAGTGACAGGATGGGTACCCTGGTGGGGAGTGGAAGGACACCTTTAGAGAGCCATGGGCTATAGAAGAATGAAAAGAAAAATCTGGACGCCCGAACGGCATATAGTTGGAGAAAGACCGGGCTTGGCCTGCAGGACTGACGTGGACAGGCTAAGCGGGCGCTGCCCCCAGGCGGCTGGTGCCCACTACCGCCACTGTTCGGGCGGGGCCGGCCTCCCTCCCGGCTCTCGCCCTGCGGGCTCCACCTCCCCAGCGCCCTCCTACTCTTCCTCCTCGAAGCCGGCTCTACATCCTTGCGTCTGCCACGTGACGCTCCGCCCTCCTTTGTGATCACATGATTCGACCATACAAATCCTGACAGTGTTCCTCCGCGCTGGCGTAGTTCCTACTTTTCGGACCTCTGCAGTCACTATGGGTCCACTCCTCCTGGAACTTAGCGTTCTATACGTCTCTCCAAACATCTGTTTCTTTTTTGACCTCTTATTTCTAGAGACCGTCTCAGCCACTTGGGTACTATTTTGTTTTGGTGTCAACGGCCGCCTTCAGCGTAGCAACACGTTTCGTGAATAGCTAATCTTGTAATTGTCTCTGCTCTTCTACGTTGTTTCCGAAAAGAACTTGGCGAACCAAGTCATATCATGATTACCATTTCTTACCTCTTCTCATTCCCAGCTTCGGGGGTGTGGGGCGGAAGGTCGCAAAATGGGTTTTCAGTTATTTTCGACAATAGCAAAGGCCAGCCACCTTTGCTACGTCGCTTGCGTAGCTCACGAATTGATGCCAAAGCGATTACGCCGATGGCGTGAGGGGGGCGGTCAGTGGGTGGTGCTACGCTAGCAGCGTTACTGCGGCTGGGCTACAGGCGTATCTTGGCAGGTTGGGCTGCCCCCGATGGCCGGGGGCGGGGTTGGTGAATAGGGAAGTGGCGCAAATTCGTGGATCGCTCCGCTGAATCCGCCCGCGCGTCCCCGGCGTCGCCACCGCCCCCCGTCCCGGCCCCCCCGCCGGGTTCCCGCAGCCCAGCCCGGTCCAGCCCGGTTCCCGGGAGGATGAAGTTCGTGTACAAAGAGGAGCATCCGTTCGAGAAGCGCCGCTCTGAGGGCGAGAAGATCCGAAAGAAATACCCGGACCGGGTCCCGGTGAGAACAGTAGCCAGGGCCAAGGACTCGGGACGCTGACGCTGACGCCGCAGCCTGGGTTTGGGTCCAGGACTGGCTGCGCGGGGGTCAGGCTGCCGGCTGTAGTGGGCTTGGTAGCGAGCCTGAAACTGCTGTCCCTGGGACCGGCGGTGAAAGGAGTGGGGTAGCGATAGAGCGGAGGATGAGGGGATGTGGACGGGAGAGAGAAACCTTGGCATTCGTGTGAGTGGAGGCCTTAGGGAGTTTGACAGCCTGAGCTTCACATGGTCAACCCCCCAGTTAACTAGGATTGCGAGGCTGGAGCTCTAGTTGGCCCAGTCATCTTTGATTAAGAGAGTTGTTTATTATGGCGCCCTATTCAGGGATTGATCCTGGATGTTTATTCAGGTAGCTACAGTCAGTGGGGTCAGGATCTCTGACACTCTGCTGTACCGCGTGTGCAGAGACAAAGAGAAATTAGTCTGGGGTAGATTTAGATACTAGGAATATTGTTGCTTGAATTCTTAACAGGTGGAGCTGCAGGGTTGTATTCCTTATGTTCCCTAATTTTCATTTTTCCTTTATCAGGTGATAGTAGAAAAGGCTCCCAAAGCTCGAATAGGAGACCTGGACAAAAAGAAATACTTGGTGCCTTCTGATCTCACAGGTAGGAACCTGACCCAAGACCCAGGTTTGCTTTCTGTGGGTGGGAGTACAATCTGTGGGAGGAGGCTCCACCTAGCAGCTGTTCCTTTGAAGGTATTTATGATCTCTGTGACTTTCTTGTACCTTGTATCTTTGGCAGTTGGTCAGTTCTACTTCCTGATCCGGAAGCGAATTCATCTCCGAGCTGAGGATGCCTTGTTCTTCTTTGTCAACAATGTCATTCCGCCTACCAGTGCCACGATGGGTCAGCTATACCAGGTATGGCAACTAGGAAGTAGTGGAGGCTTTGGAGAGGAGTCTTGGAAGATCTTGAGGGAAACAAAGTGTTAGGTCAGCAGTTCTCGGACTAGCTGGCTAGCTTGTCTTAAAATTTCATGATAGTTCTGGGTTGGGGGTTTAAATAGAACATTGGAAGTAGAGAGAAGGGAAGAGAACAGTGAACTGGAGGAGCCGTTTTGATCAGTACTCCCCCCGGTCCTCCTCCCCTTTCCAAGGCAGCAGAGGACACTTTGAGATCTTTTGCTCAGGGTTGCTGTAGGAATGATAACTGCTTGGTTGCTCACGCATGGAGTCAGTGAGGGAGAGAGTCAGGCATCGGTTTTGGGGGTCTTCAAAAATAACGTGTCTGGCTGGTGGTTGGTTCAAGTAACTGAAGCCTGGTTGCCTGAAAACCATTTTCTGCTTTCACCCCAGGAACACCATGAAGAAGACTTCTTTCTATACATTGCCTACAGTGACGAAAGTGTCTACGGTCTGTGAAGCTGCTGCCCCTGAGGTGGGGGGGGGGGTTCTCATTCTACAAAGAGAGAGGTGGCCCCTCTTCCCTGACCTCCTCCTCCTCCTTCAGGCTGAAACACCACCTCTTTTCTTCAGGACCTGCACTTCTTAATGTTTAAGTCCTCTCCAGCTCCTCTTCGAAGGAGGGGTAATGGAGGAGATGGCCTCATGTACCTCTCCTTTCTCCTTTCTTCCCCTTTCTCTGCCCATCTTTCCCATTCTGCTTTAGACTTCTTGGTTGTCAGTCTCAGTCACATCCAGTGATTGTTTTGGTTTCTGTTCCCTTTCTAACTGCCCTAGGGGCTTGGAACCCCAACAATCCCTTCCTTTCACTACCTTCTTTTTTGGGGGTAGTTGGAAGGGACGGAAATTGTGGGGCGAAGGTAGGAGGCACATCAATAAAGAGGAAACCACCAAGCTGAACTGAATTTTGCCTTGTGTTGCCCCCTCACTCTTTTGTATTTTAGTCTCGTGGAGGTGTCATGGGCTTCAGTGGTGGGGAAAGAGGAGGAATAGGTACAGGTTGGAGGGATAGAAGTATATTTTGGTTTATTCTGTTCACATTGGGCTTTTCCCTGTCTCTGTAAAGGGGATGATTTTGTTGTGATGGAATGGAACACTCCGAGTATCGTTTCATGAAATATTATTTATTTATTTATTTATTTTGAGGCAGAGTTTCACTCTTTTGCCCAGGCTAGAGTGCAATGGCGTCATAGCTCACTGCAACCTCAGGCTTCTGGGCTCAAGCGACCCTCCTACCTCAGCCTCCTGAATAGCTGGGACTACAGGTGTGCGCCACTATGCCTGGCTAATTTTTCTATTTTTTGTAGAAACGGGCTCAGCTATGTTGCTCAGGATGATGTGGAACTCCTGGGCTCAAGCGATCCTCCCACCTCCCTCTCCCAAAGTGTAAGATTACGGGCGTCAGCCACCACGCCCAGCCTATATATGTGTATATAAAATACGCATATAGAACTTAATGTTAAAAATATTGATATAAAAAATTCTATTTTTTACAGTGGGCTTCTACAGAAGAATGTTTGAAAAGTACCTGTTTTAGATAAAAACATCCAAATTCGTTTTTTATTTTTTTTTAAAGCCAAATTTAGCCATCCGAATTTGTTATAACGTTTTGGATTAAAGAGGAGAAGATTTTCGTGTGTGGGAGCCAGTAAAAGGACTGTTTTCAGTTGCATGTTACTTGGCCAGACTTTGTGCCGGCGTGTGCGATCCAGTGGAGTGGAATCTGAGGAGGGAGAAAACTGGGAGGAGGGCGCCATTATCACCAGGAGAACTTCATGTCCCGACAATCATTTCTCCGACTGGCCGGAAGTGGGGCGGTCCCCCGGGGGAGAAAGACTATGCAGAAAGAGGCAGTATGGTGGCCGAGAGTTCTAATCGCTTCTTCCTCTTCTTTCTTGGTCCCGCCTAGCCTACATTTCCCAGGGGCCTGCGCGTGCTCTTCCGCTCTATCGTGTTGCTCCCAGTCCCCCCGCCACTCCCCGGGGGAGGGGAGCGGCGTAGCGCGCCTGCGCCAACATATGGTTTGCTGGGAACTGAAGTTCTAGAGGTTCATTCAGTCCTCTTTCCGCTGTCCCCGGACGAACTACACACCCCTTGGTGCATTGCGCCTCGGCGCTGGCGGAGGGTGGGGGAGAGAAGAGGAGGGAGGGAAGAGAGAAGAGGAGGAGGAGGGAGCAGGCGGCCGGCGGCGCGGGGGGAGGGGGCCCCGGTCCGGGAGTGCGGGAGGCAGTGGTAGAGGGAGGCGGCGGCAGCGGCTAGCGGACTTGAATCTCGACCAGGCTGAGGTGGATACTTCTGTGGAGCGAAGCAGTAGGAGCACCAGAGCACTAGAGGCGGCACTGGGATCCCCGGCTCAGGGGAGGGGGGCGCCGGACCGGGAGGAGGGGAGGGGGCGATGCTGGAAGCCATGGCGGAGCCCAGTCCCGAAGGTGAGCTCTCGACCCTCACTGAGCGCTGAGCCGGCAGGGGGTGGGCGAGAAATCAATTGGCAAACTTGGAGGTCGAGCCCTGGAGCCCAGCGGGGGAATGTAGGGAGGGGGTCGGGGGCCTGGCCCTGGAGGTGGGAGAGCGACGAGTTGAGAGACCTTGGAGAAAGAAGAGTGGAAGACTGGGTTGAGGTAGTTGGAGATCAGACACTGTGTGTGTGTGTGTGTGTGTGTGTGTAGGGGGGAGCGGAGGATAGGAGCTGGAAACGCGGAGTTCGGGGGTTAGGGGCAGAAAGGGCCATCGGCAGGTTGGGGCCCTGGAGCTGGGGGAATCTGAGGGCCGGAGAGTTGTTGAGGAAGGAAGACGTATAAGAGAACTGAGTGAGGGGCCCCGGTAGTTCGCCGAGGTGGGGGAGTTTGTGGCTGCGGTGCCGGAGCTCCAAGTAGTTGCCGCCGGAGGATAGCCCGGTGATTGTTAGAGGGGTGGGCAGGTAGTTGTGGGGAGCAGAGAGGGTCTGGGTATTGTCTGCGGTAGAGGGACCTGTAGTGGGGGTTAGTTGTGGGGAGAGTCGGGAAGCGAGGCGAGCTGGGTAGTTGAAGGGGGCGGCGGGGGGGGTTAAGACCAGCGACTTGTGTGTGTGGGGAGTGTTGGTTGGTAAGGGTTAGAGCCTGGGAGTTGAGGAGGATGATGGGGGCAGCGGCGGCAGTAGCAGGGGCCGCTGTGGAGAAAGTAGCTTGTTGGGGGGAGGGGGCTAGTGTTTAGGGGTCCGTAGCCTGGTGACTTGGTGAGTACGGGGGCGGGGGGGGCGGCGGTCATAGAGAGCTCGGAACAGGGCCCGGGGGCCCGGCAGGGAGCCCGAGGAGCTCGAGACGGGGAGGGGCCAAAGCCCCGGATGGGGGCGGAGGGACGACGAAATTGTGGGGAGCGCGGTGTGGGGGGCAGGTGGGGCCGCGTCCGGGTTGGAGCTCTTTGGTCTGTCCCGGACGCGAAGTAGCGTTGGATGTGTGTGCCTGTGTGTGTGTTTGGGGTGGGGGTGAGGGGCGCGTCGGGCCTCGTGCTCGAGTAGAAGGAAAAGGGCCGGAGGGCGGGGAGCGGTTCAGCGTGGTCATCCTGGACCCTGGGGGCCGGCGGGCGGCGTGTGCGGTCTCGGAGGGCCCGAGGCGGTAGAGCGCGGTCGGGTAGGAACTCCGGGCTCTGAGCGGGTGTGAAGGACGGGGGGCAGGCGGGCGGCGGCCTGGGCTCGGTCCCAGGAGCGGTATGGCGGGGTGGGGCGCTGAGAGATCGGAGTAGTCTGGAGTCTATAGAGAAACCGTGTGTTGGGGGGGCGGGGCGCCGGGCCTCCGGTTGGGGGAAGGGGAGCGCTATAGCGAGGCCTGAGAGGGCGCCGCGCCCAGGCTCCGCCCCTCGTAGGGCGGAAGGGGGAGCAGGGGCGGGTCCAGCACAGCTGGGGGCCTGCTGGCCTGGCCCAGGGAACCTGGGAGAGGAGGGGATTCACTTGGTGCCAACAGGGTTTACAGATGAGGTTTTACACAGATTGCTTCTTAATGTCTTGACTCAGCTTTTATTGCTTTTACAGATCCACCTCCGACCCTTAAACCAGAGACTCAGGTGAGTTTTCCCTTACCTTTGCAGCATAGTATCACTGCCTGACAATCTCCCCTCCCCCCCAACCCTCCTCCGCCCCTTCTAGATTTCTCACTTAGGGCTCTTCTTAGACTCGTGTCTGAATTCCATATTATCCATGTTTCCTTCCTTTCAGCCACCAGAGAAACGGCGGAGAACAATAGAGGATTTCAACAAATTCTGCAGTTTTGTTTTAGCCTACGCTGGTTACATCCCCCCTAGCAAAGAGGTAGGGACAGGGGGACGACTGACTTAAGGCTGGTATCCTAGGACTAGAGGGGCTGTTGTGCAAATGGGACTGTATTACTTTCTGGAAGGAGGCCCCCGAGAAATTATATGTAAGGCACAGGAAGTTGGAAACTTTTAGAGCTGTGCTAGGAAAGCTGATAAAGAGGGAGGAGGGGATAGCTAGCTTGAGCAGCAGTGATAGAGGGGACTTGGAGGCTTTGGTCAAGATTTTGGCGTGGTTTTGGAAGGTATTCCTCACTAAATTTAGGAAGGTGAAAATAGTAACAAATGAGGCTGTACAGAAATACAGGGAAAGAAATACAGCTGTAGCTTGGGGGATACAGTGTTCAAAGGCCCTATGGGGGCAGTGGGGAGCTGGTTAGAGCTTGAGGGCAGAGGGCACATGACAGAGGAGATGCTGATGGGAATTGGTGTGGTAGTAAGTTTTCTGAGTACAGTGAGATTTGGTGGTTGGGTAGGATATTTTAGAGTAATCTAGTCCCTGGTTTTCAGACTGGGTTTGTGGAGGGGCTGAGATGGCACTGGGCTCCTGCTAATCCTGGTCTTTTACTCCTTTTAAGGAAAGTGACTGGCCAGCCTCTGGCTCCAGCTCTCCATTGCGAGGTGAGAGTGCAGCAGACAGTGATGGCTGGGACTCGGCCCCCTCAGATCTTCGAACCATCCAGACCTTTGTTAAGAAAGCAAAGTCATCTAAGAGGAGAGCTGCCCAAGCAGGTCCCACCCAGCCAGGACCCCCAAGGTCCACTTTCTCTCGTCTCCAGGCCCCTGACAGTGCCACCCTGCTTGAGAAGATGAAGCTCAAGGACTCTCTCTTTGATCTGGATGGGCCCAAAGTGGCATCTCCACTGTCCCCCACATCCCTGACACATCCCTCCCGGCCCCCTGCTGCTCTCACCCCAGTTCCCCTTTCCCAGGGAGACCTTTCCCAGCCTCCTCGAAAGAAGGACCGAAAGAACCGCAAGTTGGGGCCAGGTTCAGGGGCTGGCTTTGGGGTGCTTCGGAGGCCTCGGCCAGCTCCTGGTGATGGGGAAAAGAGGTCTCGAATCAAAAAGAGCAAGAAGCGGAAGTTAAAAAAGGCAGATCGAGGAGATAGACTCCCACCTCCTGGGCCTCCCCGGGCACCCCCCAGTGATACAGACTCTGAAGAGGAAGAGGAGGAGGAAGAAGAGGAAGAGGAGGAGGAGGAGATGGCAGCAGTAGTAGGGGGTGAAGCCCCAGCCCCTGTGCTCCCAACACCCCCTGAGGCTCCTAGACCCCCTGCCACAGTGCACCCTGAAGGAGCCCCTCCCACTGACAGTGAAAGCAAGGAGGTGGGCAGCACTGAGACAAGCCAAGATGGAGATGCCAGCTCCAGTGAAGGTGAAATGCGGGTCATGGATGAGGACATCATGGTAGAATCAGGTAAGATTTGGGGCTGCCCAGAGGCAGCTGGGATGAGGGTTTGGGGGTGTTGTGGATCCAAGAGCTCAGGCAGAACACCAAACAAACCTTCTTTTCCCTAGGTGATGACTCATGGGATCTGATCACGTGTTACTGCCGAAAGCCCTTTGCAGGGCGGCCCATGATTGAGTGCAGCCTGTGTGGGACGTGGATCCACCTCTCCTGTGCTAAGATTAAGAAGACCAATGTCCCTGACTTCTTTTATTGCCAGAAATGCAAGGAACTGCGGCCAGAGGCCCGGCGGTTAGGGGGCCCTCCAAAATCTGGAGAACCCTGACAGCGCCAACTTTAAGCTGGAACTTCTAAATGACAACATGACTTGGGAACTGAGCCTCAGGGTCCTCAGCCTATCCCCTGGAGCTTGGATACTGTCCCCTTTTCAAGGCAGGAATTCTCAAGGGAGACTTGTTTGAAAGTGTCTCAAATTCCTACCCTATCTTTCCTCCCCACTCTGTGAACTTGAAATCGGACCCATTACAGTTGAGGGTGGGAGGCTGTCTTGGTCTGTAGACACATAATCTCTGCCTCTTGGCCCTGTCACCCATCACTTTCTGGGCCTGGGTTGGAATTGGGATGGAATGGGACAGTTGTCTATAAAACTCTAGTGTAAATATAGCACTCCCCTCCCTCATCTTTTCTTCTGTTTCACTCCCCATTTACTTTCTTCTCCACCGGTTGTATTTTTAATTTTGGACTTCCTCTTCTGGGCATGGCAGCTCAAAGGTGGAGTACTAGAGCCTGGCCAAGCGAGGAAGGAAAGCAGAAAGGTGACGATTCTCACTCACCTCTTTTGTTTTTAACAATATTGGCTGGCTGTTTGTACAAACAGCCTGCGTGTTGTAAATAAAGCAGAGTGGGCTCTTTCCTGTTTTTAGCCCTCACTGACTGTCCTGCTTGGGAGGGAGGCTCCGGAAAAGCCGGCTGAAGACTGGCTGGAGGTGGGCCTGAAACCCACCTCTCAAAATCCAATCCAAAAATGACACGCCTGTGGGCCACCCTTAAGATATTTTGGAGTAGCCAACCCTAGGCCTCAATCGGATGTTTCCCCCCCCAACCCCAGTCTAGGCCCTTCCACAATCCCCACCCTCAGTGCCTGCACAAACACTCCCGCGGGTCAGAGTTGCTTCTCGCTCCTGCCTGAGTGGGGTAAACCGGGGTGCCAGCTGGTTGTCTGCTACCTGAGGGCAGAGCCCAGCTTAATCGGTGCTCTGAGGACCCCGGTCGGGGGAGAGATTTGGGGGCGGGGCCGTTTAGGGCTGGGAGACCGTTGCCAAAGGCAGTGATCACGTGGCAGAGGCGCTGGGGAGTCGGACGGTCACGTGACCCAACGGGAGTCACGTGTTGGGGACGACAGAGGAGCGCGGGGTGGGCGGGCTTGTGTCACGTGACGTGGGGAGAGGTGGGCGGGAACCTGGAGGGCGATCGCGAGGTCGGCGGCAGTGGCGCGCGGCGGCTGCCGAGTCCGCGGCTTTGGGTCGCATCCCACGGCCCGCCCCGCCCCTCGCCGCCACCGCGCTGACCCCCCACCTTCTTCCCTTTGCATCTCTTGGGTTCTGGGTTCGCCCTGTCCGCGCTCGCGCGTCGGTGTGCGGGTGTGCGCAGGCGCGGCGGGGGCGATTAGCCCCGTTGGGTGGGCGGTGGATCCCGGGAGCGCGCGGGCGAGACCATGGCGGGCAGTAGCACCGGGGGCGGTGGGGTCGGGGAGACGAAGGTGATTTACCACCTGGATGAGGAAGAGACGCCCTACCTGGTGAAGATCCCCGTTCCCGCCGAGCGCATCACCCTCGGCGATTTCAAGAGCGTTCTGCAGCGGCCCGCGGGCGCTAAGTACTTTTTCAAGTCTATGGATCAGGATTTCGGGTGAGCGCGAGGCCTAGATGGGACCTATGGGAGCAATGCTAGTGTGGATTGGACGACATGGTGGGGCACACATCTGGGCCATACTGGGATTTTCTGGCTATGGTGGAGCGCGTTGTACTATGCAGAGGTAGATTGGCTATCCCAGGATGGACAAGGTTATACTTGAACAGACACGGAGCTACATAGGAGGACGAACTGGGGTATACTAAAGCAGGTTAGGGAAGATTAGGCTACACCGGAATAGATGGGGGCACACTGGTTTATTTTGGGATATTCTGGACTGTACTGAGTAAATTGATCTGCTGGTAGTTTAATTCGTTCTGAACAGTCTTGTAGCACACAGGCCACGTATTCTGGAATTTCTTAATGTAGATTGGGCTATATGGGGGCAACTTGGTGACATTCTGGCCAATACTAGGGCAGACGGGATTGTTTTGGGTTATTCTAGTCTGTACTAATGCAAAGAGTGCTCTATTGGGATGTTCTAGGCTGCCCTGGCATAGATTATCCTGGAGAAGCAGGCCATTCTGGACTCCACTGGATTTTATTGGTTAATCCTTCTCTTTCTCTTGGGGTCAGATACAGTTTTATTGGGGCGCTCAGTGTAGGGGCAAACAAGGCTGTTGGGGCCTATGCTAGTATAGACAGCTGTATTGGAATATTCTAGTCTATATTGGTGCAGGCAGCAGCATGTTGGGTACATCGTGGGCTGTGCTGGAATAGATTGGGCTATCTTGGGGTAATTTGGGACATCCTGGGCTATCCTGGGCTAGACTAGGACTGTAAATAATGCAGAGTAAACTCTTTTGTGTTTATGGCCTTTGGGACTGAGCCCTCTGGGTCCTCAATCTCTTGCTTTTTTGAAGGCAGATTGGATTAAGTTGGGATAGTGTGGGTTCTAGGAGAATTGAACAAACTGGACTGTACCCAGAAAAATTGTTCTGTATTAGATGAGTGATACTGTCTTGGAAGTTGTCTTGGATTTAAATCAAGATTCTTTTATTTGTCAGCAGTGTAATCTTGAGTAATTTATTTAACTTTGTGCCTTGATCTCTTCTTCTATGACACAGAAATAATCACAGAATAAAATGCTTAGTTTAGGTGCATGGCACATGGTAAATACTTGGTGAGTGGTGATTGCCATTATTAGTATTGAGATTGACTAGTCCATAAACTACGTTATGGTGATACAGAATAATTTGTCTTGGAGTAGGCTGAGCTATGTTGAGATTGGGTTATGCTGGGAAGAGTACTACCTTATGCTGAGACAAATTGATAGTGACTGGGCTGTCTTGTCACATTGATAGCAAATGGATTAAATTGGCATATATCCAGGCTCCCAGAACCATATTAGGCTAAAAGGTTAATCAAACAAAATGTCCTAATTTGGGGGTGAGGGTGTGTATGTAAAAGAGAGAGAAAGGTGGAACTAGGGTTTAGAGTCTTATGGTTTATATGTTTATTAATTTAGTTAACAAATAATCGTTAATGCCTGCTAAGTGTCAGATACTGTGCTGTGTGGCCAAGACATAGTGTTGAACAAAGTAAGTGTTTTGTGTTTTTTTTTTTTGGAGACAGAGTCTCGGTCTGTTGCCTGGGCTAGAGTGCTGTGGCGTTAGCCTAGCTCACAGCAACCTCAAACTCCTGGGCTTAAGCAATCTTGCCTCAGCCTCCCAAGTAGCTGGGACTACAGGCATGCGCCACCATGCCCAGCTAATTTTTTTTTATATATTTTTAGTTGTCCAGATAATTTCTTTCTATTTTTAGTAGAGACGGGGTCTTGCTCTTGCTCAGGCTGGTCTCGAACTCCTGACCTCGAGCGATCCTCCCGCCTCAGCCTCCCAGAGTGCTAGGATTACAGGCATGAGCCACCGCGCCCAGCCCAAAGTAAGTGTTAATGATTTGATTTTGTGGTTGAGAAGGAGCAAGTCCAGTCCACCTCAAGGAATCCATGGGAGATACGACCTCCAATGCTGGGCTTTGGGATCTGTCAGGCCAAGCAGATAGGTGCAGAGCTGCTCATGCCTGTAGTCCCAGGTACTCGGGAGGCTGAGCTGGGATGATCGCTTGAGCCCAGGAGTTAAAGGCTGTAGTGAGCTATCATCACATCACTGTACTCCAGCCTGGGCAACAGAGCAAGACCGTGTCTCAAAAAATGAAAAAACTTAGGCATGGTGGTGTACCCCTGTAGTTCCAGCTACTCAGGAGGCTACAGCAGGAGGATTGCTTGGGCTGTATTGTACTATGCCAGTTCGGTGTCTGCACTAACGTAGGCATCGATATACTGACCTCCTGGGAGCAGGGGACCACAAGGTTGCCTAAGGGAGGGGTGAATAGGCCCAGGTCAGAAATGGAGCAGGTCAAAACTCCCATGCTGATCAATAGTGGGATATGCCTGTGAATAGCCACTGCCCTCCAGCCTGGGCAACATAATGAGACACCCATCTCTAAAAACAGAAAAGAAAAAAAAACATTGCTTAGTGCAGAGTTTTGTGCCAGGTGAGGCTGAGGAGAATGAGAAGGCTGGCTTGGAAACTCTCAGCCTGATGAGGAGGTACTAGTATTTGATCTAATGGGTGTTTTTACCTAGGCAAAGACAACAGCTTTGGACAGCTCTCTGGAAGTGAATTAGAGAAAGGTGAAGGAAAGTGTAAGAGTAGAGACAAGATGAGGACCAAAGCTTTTTTGGGGAAAGGTGTGTAAGGAATAGGAATGGGGCTGAGGGGAGGCTACCAGCAAGGCTCCTAAGTTAGATATTTTGGGGAGCTTGGTAACCACAGAGGATTGCCTTTGAAATTGGACTGAGAAGTTTGAATCAGACTCAAGGATGTCTTTGTAGCAGCACTGTATTCCTGAGGATGAGCTGAGGAGAGAAGGAGAAATAAGGAAAGGGAATTGAGTTTGGAGATTTCTTGGGTGTAGGAGTGAGTTGTTTCAACATAAGAGAAGAGTACTTGGACAGAGCAGGAGAAAGTCAACATCCTTGAGCTGGATAAAGATTTCGAGAACCTTCGAATGGGTCACACAAGTTTAGCTCACCGACCTCTATCTGATCTTTTGGCAGGGTGGTGAAAGAGGAAATTTCAGACGACAATGCCCACCTCCCCTGCTTCAACGGAAGGGTGGTATCCTGGGTAAGGGACCCTGAATCTGAGGACCCAGTCCCCTCAGTACTGCCACACTCCTCCAAGCTTCAGTCTATGTCTGTAGCCCTCCCCATCCCAGGTGTTGGAGGCCTTGGTTCTTTGCTGGGGAGCCCCTCAGCCTTCTCCTTCTGGAGCCTCTAATACTTGCTACTGCTTTTTGGGTTGTTCTCCAGCCTCTTTCAGACTCTGTCTCTTTTCGAATCCTTCCCCTTACTCCCATCTCTTATACCCTATCTCCCAATTGAGCTGTTTTTTTTTTTTTTTTTTTTTTTTTTTGAGACAGAGTCTCACTTTATTGCCCTGGCTAGAGTGAGTGCCGTGGCGTCAGCCTAGCTCACAGCAACCTCAAACTCCTGGGCTCAAGCGATCCTGCTGCCTCAGCCTCCCAAGTAGCTGGGACTACAGGCATGCGCCACCATGCCCGGCTAATTTTTTCTATATATTTTTAGCTGTCCAATTAATTTCTTTCTATTTTTGGTAGAGATGGGGTCTCGCTCTTGCCCAGGCTGGTCTCAAACTCCTGAGCTCAAACAATCCGCCTGCCTTGGCCTCCCAGAGTGCTAGGATTACAGGCGTGAGCCACCACGCCCGGCCTGAGCTGTTTTTTATCACTTGCATCCTTCTAGCTAGTGTCATCAGATAATCCCCCACCTGAGATGGCTCCTCCAGCGCATGAGCCTCGCACAGAACTGGCACCTCCTCCCCCACCGTTACCCCCTCTGCCACCAGAGAGGACCAGTGGCATAGGGGACTCGAGGCCTCCATCCTTCCAGTGAGTCCTTTGTATTCTCTAGCCCAGGGGAGGGAGGTGACAAGGGAATCCAAACCCTTTGGGAGGAGAAGCTGAGGATTTGGAGCCCTGTTCTCCTGACATGGGTTGGAAACCATTTCTGCCCATCTAGCCCTAATATGTCCAGCAGCCATGAAAATCTGGAGCCTGAGACGGAAACCGAGTCAGTAGTTTCACTGAGGCGAGAGCGGCCTCGCAGGAGAGACAGCAGTGAGCATGGCGGTGAGGGGCAGACCCTGGAGGCTGGTAGCCTGGGGTCCAGGAAGGGCTGGGCCAGACCCTGGCCTTGGTGGGGGTGAGGCATGGGAGGCCTAGTTCACAAGCTTCCTGTTCATATGCAGCTGGGGGCCACAGGCCTGGTGGTCCCTCAAGACTGGAGCGCCACCTGGCTGGGTACGAGAGTTCCTCTACTCTTATGACCAGTGAGCTGGAGAGTACCAGCCTGGGGGACTCGGACGAGGATGATACCATGAGCAGGTACGGCTCCACTCATCTCCCCAGGGCTTCCAGCTCCCTCTCCTCCCTCCTTCCAGTCAATCCGTCGTTCTTTCTCTTGGCCCCGTGACTACCTCAGCCTATAAGTGCTCCCCTTCCCACCTCCTGACAGGTTCAGCAGTTCCACAGAGCAGAGCAGTGCCTCCCGCCTCCTTAAGCGCCACCGGCGGCGGAGGAAACAGCGGCCACCCCGCCTGGAGAGGGTGAGGGGGATCCCCTTGGGCAATTGGGATTTGGAGAAGGTGGGGGCATGGACCTTGGTTTAGGCTGTCCTAGGACACAGACAGAACCCAGGGCTTATCCTGGGTTCTTGAAGGGCACTGCAGCTCCTTCCCCTTTTCCCACCACAGAGCTCATCCTTCAGCAGCGTCACAGATTCCACCATGTCTCTCAACATCATCACGGTCACACTCAACATGGGTATGGAGGGAGCCTGAGGCTGGGACAATGATTGGGGAAGACTTGGTCTCCAGGGTTCCCTGCGGTCACTCAGCTGGGGCTTCCCCTCCTCACATGGACTGTTTCCACAGAGAAGTACAACTTCCTGGGCATCTCCATTGTGGGCCAAAGCAACGAGCGGGGAGATGGAGGCATCTACATCGGCTCCATCATGAAGGGTGGGGCTGTGGCCGCCGATGGGCGCATCGAGCCAGGGGACATGCTTTTGCAGGTGTGCTGGGGCAGGACCAGTGGGCAGGGGCTCTCTGTAGCCGGTCCCACCTTGCCTCTGACCAACCTCCCCTGATGTCTAGGTGAATGACATGAACTTTGAGAACATGAGCAATGATGATGCTGTGCGGGTTCTGAGGGACATTGTGCACAAGCCGGGGTGAGTCTCCGAGTTGGTCTCAGGTCCTCAGTCCTCTTGTTTTTTCTCTTTAACCTTTTGTTTTGTAGTTTTAATAAGTGGTGAAACATAACACTCAGTACATGAAGTGAAAACATGTAATGCAGTGAATGATTTTAGAGTGAACACCCGTGTTACAACCACCCACCACCTAGATCATGAAATAGAGGACTGTCTATACCCCCCAATCCTCTACCCGCACTGCCCCTTCCTGTTGCCAACCATCGCACTCCCCCTAGGGTTAATCACTCTCCTAGCTTTTTCGGACATCACCATGACAAAGAAATGTTTGCTTCACTTGATGGTTTACAACCTATAAGTTTACCATCCTTAAACAACACAGTTTAGTTTTACCTGTTTTTGAACTTGCTGTGAATAGAATTGTGCAGCGTGTACTCCTTTGTTTCACTCAGCAGTGTGTTTTTAAGAGTTATTCTTGTTGGTGAGTCATCCACATTGTGGAGCCTTCCCACCCTCACCTCTGGCCCAGCCATGTATGTGCACTTTTCTTGTCACCTTCTTTCTGTCTCTCAGTTCATTCTTGTTCCAGGCCTCTGCCCTCCTGAGGCCTCCTCCCGCACTGTCCCCTGACTGGCCTCCTCTTCTCCACAGCCCCATCGTGCTGACTGTGGCCAAGTGCTGGGATCCCTCTCCCCAAGCCTATTTCACCCTTCCCCGAAGTGAGTGATGCTCAAGGAGGTGCCTGAGGCTGGGGCTGGTGGAGGAGGGGCCAGGTAGAGGCGGGGACCAGAGTGTGAGTCAGGGAGGGACAGGGCTGGTTTTTCGGGACTGAGAAGTGGTCATCTTGGCCCCAGATGAGCCCATCCAGCCAATTGACCCTGCTGCCTGGGTGTCACACTCTGCTGCACTGACTGGTACCTTCCCAGCCTACCCAGGCTCCTCGTCCATGAGCACCATCACGTCTGGATCCTCTTTGCCTGATGGTGAGCCCCCAGCCCACCCACCCAAAGGCTGACCGGTGATGTCCTGACCCGCCATTCCTGTGTAAGTAGGTCCTACCCCTGATAACCCGTTGTCTCCTCCGCCAGGCTGTGAGGGCCGGGGCCTCTCCATCCATACAGACATGGCATCTGTGACCAAGGCCATGGCAGCTCCAGAGTCGGGGCTAGAAGTCCGGGACCGCATGTGGCTCAAGATCACCATCCCTAATGCCTTTCTGGGTACAGCTGGGCCTTGGGCAGGTGGCATGGGAAGGGGAGGAGGAGGTGACCAAAGCTGGGAATGGCACAGGCAGGGGTGAGGGCAGAAGTTGAGAGGAGACCCTGAGGCCTCTTTCCACTGTGGCTGCTCCCAGGCTCTGATGTGGTTGACTGGCTCTACCATCACGTGGAGGGCTTTCCTGAGCGGCGGGAGGCCCGCAAGTACGCCAGCGGGCTGCTCAAGGCTGGCCTGATCCGACATACTGTAAACAAGATCACCTTCTCGGAGCAGTGCTATTATGTCTTCGGGGACCTCAGTGGTGGCTGTGAGAGTTGTGAGTGCCCCTGCCGCAACCCTGGGAATTGAGCTCTGCCTGCCTTGTTCTGCCTCTCCAACCCCAGACCTAGCCTGGAAACCCAGCCCGGGCCACTGAGGATGGGTTGAGCAGTATGTGTCCTATACTAGGTCCTGCACTGGCCCAGGTGGGGTTTGACTTCCACCCGTGTGCTGCTGGACAAGTCCTGCGCCATGTGCAGGGCTGTGTCTGCTGTCAGGAGAGGCACCTCTTCCTGAGTTCCACAAAAGCATATGGGCTAGTGGTGGCCCTGGCTGTGCTCCTGCCCTGATGGCAGCAGTAGATGGGAAATTTCCTGTCAGAGGCCCTTGTGACCCCCCATTTTAACCCCCATCATGGGTTGGTCTGGTCCCAGTTCCCCTCTGTTCAGTATTTGAGGCCATGGCCTCTTGAAGCAGTGATTTCTTACTCTCTTCCCCTGCTTTCCAGACCTAGTCAACCTGTCTCTGAATGACAACGATGGTTCCAGTGGGGCTTCAGACCAGGACACCCTGGCTCCTCTGCCTGGGGCCACCCCCTGGCCCCTTCTGCCCACCTTCTCCTACCAATACCCAGCCCCGCACCCCTACAGCCCACAGCCCCCACCCTACCATGAGCTTTCATCCTACACCTATGGTGGGGGCAGTGCCAGCAGCCAGCACAGTGAGGGTAAGTCACCCCCAGATACTGATACAGCCAGGGTCTGAGGGTGGAGCAGAGCGGAACCAGGGAGAAAGGCTGGGGTGATGGGAAGCCAGTGGAGCTGGGCTAGGGCTCAGTTGCCCCATCTCCACTTCTCCCACAGGCAGCCGGAGCAGTGAGTCAACACGAAGTGATGGGGGGGCAGGGCGCACAGGGAGGCCTGAGGAGCGGGCCCCCGAGTCCAAGTCTGGCAGCGGCAGTGAGTCCGAGCCCTCCAGCCGAGGGGGCAGCATCCGGTGGGGTGGAGAACCTGGTGGGACTGGCGATGGGGGTCCTCTTCCCTCCAGAGGCTCAACTGGGGGTGCTCCCAATCTCCGAGCCCACCCAGGGCTCCATCCCTATGGACCACCCCCTGGCATGGCCCTCCCCTATAACCCCATGATGGTGGTCATGATGCCCCCACCCCCACCCCCTGTACCCCCAGCAGTGCAGCCCCCGGGGGCTCCTCCAGTCAGAGACCTGGGCTCTGTGCCCCCAGAACTGACAGCGAGCCGCCAAAGCTTCCACATGGCCATGGGCAACCCCAGTGAGTTCTTTGTGGATGTTATGTAGAGCCCACTGTGGGGTCATGTTGGGTTTCCACCCTGGGCCCATCCAGTCTCAGCTTGGTGCTCCTGTTTTGTGATTAGGTGTCTTGTCAGTCACATGCTCCTTACTCCTTGCAGTGCCTGAGCTCAGCCTGCTGGCTGCTGTGGAGTTGTTGCCACTGTGACTCTCACCAGCAGTGCCTGGTTCCTCCCCCTTCTCTCAGGGGTAGACAAGGGACCTTTGGTTATTTTTAGCTTTACTGTTTTTTATAAGCCTTTTTGTGGGTTAAATTAGACTTTTTTACATTTGGGGGACTATTTTTTAAATAGACATTTCCTCTTTTATATGAAGAATCCCCATCTCCTGGGACCCCTTTTCTAACCCCAGAATGTGACCTCCTCTAGTTGCCCAGTAGGCTCTGCTCTGCTACACAGGGTGGGAGGTGGTCAGTGGTACCCTGGGAGGAGGAAAGGGGTTGGTCACCCTAGACAGCAGTCCAAGAAAGCTGGGGTATTTGGCATTTGGGGCCACGTAGCTGCCTTTGTTACTCTATTTATTTTAGTCACTTGTATAAAACACGAAATAAAGCAATAGAGGCAAACTCCCCACACCTCTGGCTCCTTTCTTTGGGAGGGAAGCAGGCAGCTGAGGGAAAGAACTGAGACAGCAGCAAAGCATGACTTGTTAGAGACTTTATAATTTGTGAGGCAGTAAGTGCTCCTGAGAGCAGGCAGTTCTGGGAGCAGCAGGCCCTTCAGGGCAAACCAGGGACCCCAGGAAAGGGGCCTTGGCTTTGGCTTAAGAGAAGGCACGTAAACAGGCCAGGCCCTGGCTGGAAGTACTCAGAAGCCGAGTGGGTTGCTGGTGACCACGCCACCTCGCTCCACCAAGGCCGTGGAGATGCTTTTGAAGTTCCGGAATAGTTCCTGTTGCTGGGGGTCAGACTGCAGAGCCGTCATGTTCTTCAGGATCCGGGCTGCAGCCTGAGGAGAGAGGGAAGAAGGGGTTCAGGCTTGTGCCTTGAGACCCCACCTATGCTTGGCAGCCCGAGTCTCACCTCAGTACACCAGGTGTCACAGAGCATTTTCTCATGCTGGGCTGTGGAGTGGCCCTCACTCAGGGATCTTGAGGCCCTAGTGGGAAGCAGGAGGAGAAAATCAATCTGGGCTGTGACCCTGGCCCATCCCCTCCTGTGGCACACGTCTCCCTCACTGCCGCCTCACCTGGAGAGAACCACCACCATGGCATAGAGGTCAATGGCCCCGTCTGCCAGACGCTGCAGCAGGAACTGTTCATCTGTCAGGTAGATGGGAGAGGGGTGGGAGGCATTAATTTGCAGGAGAGGAAAGGGAGGGGGTGGGAACGGGCCGAGCTCACTCACTGACAATCCCCTTCTTGTGTTTTATCAGCTTGGCCTCTACCACAGTGGCAAACTGCTCCAGAGCTTGCACCGCCTGGGAAGATGGGGAAGGTGCGCAGGGCTCAGAAGGGCCGCACTAGCAGCTCTGGGTGCAGCCTCACCCCTGCCTTGACTACTCACCAGCTGGCCGCTCCGGCTCAATTCTGGGTGGACAATTCCACCGAGACTCAGGCCACTGCCCAGTCCTGCCCGTCTTAGAAGAAGGGGGAGAATGACTGGTCAGTTGCCATATGTCGCCCTGCCCTGCCCCGCCCTGCCCCACCACACCCCCTAAGCCTACCTCCTCAGCTGCTTGCCTGCCTCTCCTAGCAGGAGGCCAGCATTCCCAAAAGGATTCTTAAGAGCACTGCCAAGCCCAGAGAGCTCCTTTCCTTTGTCCTAGGAGGGAGGAGGGTCCAACAGTCAAGACTCACTGTCCTCCCCACCTCTTCCCCCCTATTCTCCTCTCTTACCATACAGCCCTGCAGAGCCACAAACAACCGAAGAATGTCGTTTGTCCCTTCAAAGATGCGGAAGATTCGAATATCTCGGAGCACACGCTCTACCCCAGCCTCCTACCACCAGGGAAGACAGATTGTAAGCTCCTGCTGAGATGTGCCTACCTTCCCAGCCCAACTGAGGCTCCGTGCAAAAAGGACCACCCTGTACCTTCATGAAGCCCATGCCCCCCATGATTTGGATGCACTCGTCTGTCACCTTCCAGGCTGCTTCCTAGGGACAAAGAACCAGAAGAGATTGGTTTTGGGGCTGAGTTCCCAAACTGGACTTTCCCTCCCAGCATGCCTGGGGCCTCACCGAGGCAAAGATTTTGCTGATGGCGGCTTCTATTTGGAAGTCCGTGGATCCCTGGTCCATGTTGGCACTCAACATGTAAGCCATGGACTGAGGTTGCATGGTTGGGACGTGGAAAGGAAAGTTGAAAAGGTCTGCATCAGACTCACCCTGATCACCACGTCTCTCAGACCAGGTCTGGCCTAGCTCCCCAGCTAGGCCCTTCCATTCACCTTTAATTCTGTGGTCAGGTCAGGTACATCTAAATATTTGGTCCCCTGAATCAGTTCATTGGTGCTTCCAGGCACTTGACTTCTTGAATGGGGTCGGGGTGGAAAGTAGAGTTAACTTCTGGCACCTCTGGGAAGCACCTCAGCAGAACACCATTGCTCTCGTCCTGCAGAAGCTCAGCTGGCTATGCCTCCCCGCATCCCCTAGGGCATTGGTGTAAAGCTGGAGACCCACTGCCCCAGGTGCTGCTGGGGGTTGTAGTCTGACCGACTGGGAAGAATGCCTCAGGGCTCCAGGGAAAGGAGACCTCACCTCAGTCACATACTGCAGCATAGCCATCCGGGCCAGCTTCTCCTGGATCAACCCAAAGTTGTGAATTTTCTCCCCAAACTGGGTACGATTTGCAGCATGATCCACCTGGAAGAGGGTACATGCATCCCACTGTGGTTAACCATTTCTGCAATTTCCCTAGGAGAGGGGCTGGGGATGGGTCCAAGGTGGATTGAGACCTAAGCTAGCAGGTCTGGAGCTGCTAGGGGGCAGGGTCTGCTGTGGGGAACACCTGCATGGGAATAGGAACACGTGGAAAGGAGGATAATAACGTTACTCACATTCAGGCTAGTGACTTAGGCAGGGTACTCACCGCCTTGGCAATGATGCTTCTCATGGTGCCTCCAAGGGTTGCAGCCATGCCAAACCTTCCATTATTGAGGATATGCATGGCGACCTTGAAGCCACCCCCCACCTCACCCAGCACGTTCTCTGCTGGCACCTGTACTCCATCAAAGAACACACTTGCTGTGTTGGAGGCCTTGATGCCCATCTTCTTCTCAGGGGGCCCACTGTGAGGGGGCAGGATAGGAAAGCAGAAGTATGTTTAACAGATTGCTACTGGGGTTCTGGGAATACTTCCTGAATGCCCTGAGGACTAAGGAGGCTTGCTATGTTCTGCTACCACATGTTGGACTTGGTTGCTAGAGCCAGTACTTTAGATCAGTTCCATACATGTTAATCCCAAAGGGAACATGCTGTATACCTGCTTTGGCTTTTGCACACCCCCAAGGTGACCTGTAACAACCAGCACAGTACTGCCTCCTTGGTCCTTCCTCCCCAAGCCCACTCACTGGGTAACACCCCCAAAGCTCTTCTCCACCACAAAAGCTGTGATTTTCTCCTTCACGGTCCCTGTGGCTGCATCTGTAACAGGTGTCTTGGCAAAGACTGTGAAGATATCTGCCAGGCCCCCATTACTGTGGAAGAATGAGATGGCAGTCAGGACACAGGACCCAGAGCAGTGGGGCCCCGGACTGGGCAGAGGGGGCAAAAGGGAGAAACGGGAAGAAGATTGCCTGATCCAAATCTTGGTTCCATTGAGGGTGTAGTATTTTCCACAGGGGCTGGGCACAGCGGAGGTTCGGATGGAGGCTGCATCTGACCCACTTGAGGGCTCGGTTAGACAGAAAGCGGCCATAGTTTCCCCTGTTGGGGAGAGGGCCACTTTAGCATGAGTCCTGTTGGGCATCAGAGTTCCCTCAGCTGGCTTCCTCATCTCCCCAGGCAGTTCCCCCTTAATACCTCTGGCAACATCCAGTTTATAACCTCCCCCAACCGAAATGCCCAGCTATGCAGTGATCTAAGTGCCAACTGGCCTAATCAGTACCAAGCCCAGGACACCCCCAATCCCTAGGTCTCCTAGAGTTGTCTCACCAGATGCCAGTTTGGGGAGGTACTTTTCTTTCTGGGCCTTTGTGCCAAAGAGCAGGATGCCTTTGAAACCGATGCTCTGATGGGCCCCCAGGGTAACGCTCATGCCAAGGTCGTGCATGCCCACGATCTCCGCCAAGCGGGTATACTGGAGGGGAAGCAGGCGTCTGGGGCTGTAACTAGCTTCATGTGGACCTGCTCTTAGCAGGAAAGTGTGGGCAGCAGAGCAGGGCCTCATGTGGGCCATCCTCACAGAATGAGTGTGGAGAGAAGGAAGCCAGACCATGAAAGTCTGGTAGGAGAGAGACTTCCTACTATCCTCTTTTTGGGCATTCCCCAACTTAAGAGATTTATAAGGACGGGAACCAGAAGGAGGTGCATGTAGATTGTGTTGTTACAGGGGTGAGTGTGTATTTTTCACTGGCCGCCCCCCAGGTCAGGTGCTTGGAAAAGACCTCAGCCCTAGGGATGAAGAAAGAGGTGAATCTGCCAAGCTGGAGTATGAGGATATTGGGAAGTGGAGAGAGGGGTCCCCTCACCTGGGTGTTGCAGAGGCCCACACCGCCCAGCTCACTGGGCACTTGTAGACCAAAGGCCCCGAGCTCCTTGAGGCCCTGCAAAGTGGTTTCTTGCACCATCTCCAAAGTGTCATTCTCAGCAGGATCATTCACCTCCTGGGGAAGGCACATGGATGCCACAGCCAGGCTCCATTTAAGCTCCTTAATGTCGCCACCCACCCCATCAGGGACCAAGCCCCAGTCATTCCTCACCTCGAAGAAACGGGACACGGGCCCAACTAGCTCTTTGAGAAATTGTGTCTGCTCCTCGTTGAGCACTGCAAAGTTGGGAGCCAGGCGGGTCAGGCGAGGCTGTCAGGGAAAACCATCCTGTCCCTCCCCAGCTCTGATGATCGTTTCCTTACCAGACGGGTATGGGAACACCTGATCCGTGATGAGCTGGCCCTTGAACATCCCCACAGCAAAGGACTTAGATTCCTGGGCAGGGAGAAGGGAGCTTCAGGAGCTGACTGAAGTGGGTCTGCCCTGGCTTAGATCCACCCAGGGGCCTTGGGGCTACATACCGCCTTGGCCCGTTTTTCCCTGGTCGAAGCTTCAGAGGAGAGGGAATCTGACTCATCCCGAACTGCCTGGAGAAAGGGGTGGTTATTAAGACAGATGAAGGGGCTTCCGGTTGTGCCTAGGAGAGCACAAGGCGGGGGACTGGGCGGGTCCGGTTACCTTTCACCCAGTTTCACCCCAGGGCACCCTGGCTTGCCCTTTCCCCTGCTTTCGGCGCCAGAGCTGTCGGCAGGTGACTCGTACGAAGAGGGACCCCTGCCGGCGGCGGGGACGTGGGAACCGAAGCGGCGCCGGTTCCTACACCCCCCTACCAAGGCCACTGTCACTCACCTGGGCGGCCCCACTGGCATAGGGTCGCCGGGAAAGGCAAAGCCGGGGCTGCCCCAGGAGCGCACTGGG